TGGTATCATTTTAAAGGTGATGATATGTCAGTGTTACGTTCACAACATTTGTGCCCAAACCTAACCATAGCTGTGTAAGACCAGAAAGCAGTTTTATTTTTCCAGCAGGGATTTGAAACATTTTGGGATTTTTGTGCAGATTTGTTACACTTTTCATTTTAAATGAATGAAACCTGTTTTGTATGTTCCTCTGCCAGTCCCATGTCAGTTTTTACATATGTAGCTCTCTCTGTTGTCAAGAGACTGACATAAATGGTGCAACTGTGCTGACAGGCAGAAGGAAAGAATAGCAGCAACACCAATGCCTGAATGATCTGCACATCTCCTAAAGCGGTATGTGACTTGATTCTTTCTGAAGTCATATTGGCAAAAGTGCAGAAATCATGTCAAAGTCCCTTTTGCAACGGCAGCCAAAAGAGAACCACACCTGGTCAATAAAGAATGTCAATCAATACACATTTTGACACAGTGTTTTATAATTTAGACCATGTAGCCATTGAGTTAAACTTAATTAATTTTGCTCGAGGTCTCCCTCTTCACCCACCTCCTGAGCCCACCTCTCATTCTTCTGCCTCATTCCCTTCCTCCCCTCCTCCCTCCACAGCCCTCTCTTTGTGAATGTGCTGCTGATTGTTTGACAGTCCTTTAAGCCTTATGATAAGATCTAGTTCTGACTCTTAAGCACACCAGAGGTGGTCAGCAGCAGGGAATTTTTATGTTCGATAATAAGAAAGAAAATCATTCAGTGACAGGCCTTTCAGGCTTCCATTATGCGGAGGTCTAACAATCACAGCTGATTCTGATTTCACTCAGTGCTGGAATATGTTCTCTTGGGGTATACGACATAACATTACAGGCCACTTGACATAAAGAGGATGATCGCAATGTAGGCTTTTTACTCTTTCGACACGTGCATTCCATCTGTTACCTGGTGGATGAGGAACATTTTGTGTATGAATGTGGGGCATGCATCAGATGAACACCACAGGAAGGCCTATTTGCTTTTTTTTATTATTATTATTGTAAAGACATATTCATGCAGGGGATTCCACTCACATTTTGCATGGGAATCCATTACATGAATGGGCTGCATTTGCCTCCTCTCACCGGTAGCTAAGACATTAATTTGCAGGAGAAGCATAGAGGTCAGCGGGGCTAGTGTCACATTCTGTGCATTGGCTGACTGACTCCAAAATTGCTCCTTTTCTGCTTCACAGACTGGCTCTTCTGCAAAATTATAACTATTGCAGTCAGTATCTTAATTATTCTGAACAATGGCTAGTCCTGTATTGTTGTAATTAAGCCTTTCTAGATACATATGCTGGATGATAATTTGATTCTGGCTCCCCCAGCTCCTCATGACTGACTCCCGCTTCAATACGGTTTTATCACTTAATATATTCCACTCCTAATATTTATTTAGTTTTAATAGCCAATGAGAAAAGGAAACAGGACTGTGGATTTCTGATCTTTCTCAAAGCTGGAAGAGCCACCACAGCAAGGAACACAAGCTTACAGAGACAACCAATCGAGACACTCTATTCTGACGAGCCTGGCGATGGTTTACTACAAGGCCATTTACTGTCAGAATTTAAACCCGCATGATTTATGGTATAGCTGCCCTGGTCTGCTTTCTCTGTTTAGTTCAAAGGATGAGTCTGGCTTCAAAATGCTCAAGGGCACGGGCTAATATGATAAACAGGGAACAGAGGCTACAATCTTGGGGAGGGGGGTTGGGCCTTCTGCTCACGACAGTTTACCCTCAGTCTGCGAAAAGCGAGGGATGGTGTATGGTGAGGGATGTGGTGTCTGCGATAGCCAAGAGGGGAAGAGAGATGTGAGGAATGGAGGTCTTCTCCCCCATGAACTACCACTGGGGAAAAGACGAGGAGGAAGTGGAGGAGGATGGTGTTGCAGGGATCACCAGTCATGGAGGATTATAATTGCTAAAAATAAGAAAATGGTATTTTCCTCTCTTTCAAATTAGTTCCTCTGGGTTTCTTTTTATATGATTATTTTTAGAAGGGAGAGAGGTTTTAATGAAATATGCAGGAATCATCCACTGAACAATATAGCATGCTAATATATTGAATGCATTTGGTTTCTTTGCTAAATTATATGTTTGCTGCAGAAAGAAAACTATATGAGCTTACTGTTGAGCATTTCAAACCGGCATTAAACATCACTCTACTTTAAATTAAACCTCCCAAAATATCCACTGGAATATTTTACTCTCATGCCAGCAATCAGTTAAGCAGAGTGGGTCATATGTTGGAAATAGCGGATGTCACATTTTGGAATTAATCTCCACAATCCAATCTCAAGGACCGATTCAATAAACAGTATTTAAACATTTTATGAGCATTGCGAGATGGATTTAAGCCTGCCTAGTCAGAAATAGCTGGCTAACTGTATGAACCTCGGAGGGTTTGTCTGGAGGGGAGAAACGGACATTTAGGACGGACTGTTAGCAGATGGCAGGGTGACAACTTGAGCTGCTGGTTCTTGTGTTGACATATCACAGTGGGGTCGCATCTCAAGGCAGCACATCATCACATCAAAGTCTGTCTTTGATCCGATTAACACTCACTCACCCGACGACACAGGAATGACAAGAAGAGGTTAAAAAAGAGTAGATATTATATGATATAATGTCAATGTACATTATAGTTTGAGAACAGAAAGAATATAGCAGAATCTTCCAGAATTTACTTAAGTGAAACTACTGATACCATAATGTAAGAATACTCCATTACAACTGAAAGTCCTAAAATGCTACTTGTGTAAAAGTATAAACTACATGATTATACATTTCTTTAAATTAATTTGTAAACAAATATAACTCCTCCTGTGGACACCCATAAGTTGGTGTGCTAAATATGAATGACTGTTTAGTAAAACATGGTTGTAGCAATACAAATGATTAATTTAATTAATTATTAATTAATTCCTGACAAATACTTTACATTAATAAAAAAATGTCCTATAACTGCATACAACTACATAATGGTGTTTTATAAACCATTTATTTGCTGTTTGTATACTGCTTAAAAAAAAGGCTAAATGGGGGGATTAAGTACCTCAAGATTCTACTTAAATACAGTACTTTACTAAATGTACTTAGTTACTTTCCACCACTGGAATACAGAGCGTCATTACTTAACAATACAAAAGGAAATCCAGTTTGACAGACACATTCACCACTGGGTTAATCACATTTCATGTTTTCTCCTGGGAACTGTTAGCTTGTTTCATGAGCTCATAATATCAACTTTTATTTCAAATGCTAACCCAATCAGTCATTTTGTAAGCACTTTCCTCTACCTCTAAGTAGGGCACATATGGCCCATTTCTGACCATCAGGTTTTTTTAGCAAGGGAGGGAAGGAGCAAGCAGGGCTTTTTTGTAGGGGTGGGGAGGCGGGGTGTGTGTGTGTGTGTGTGGGGGGGGGGCAGAGTGGGGACATCAGGTTGGCAACCTGTGGCCATCTTTCTGATGTTATCCATGCATATGCTTCACATGAACTTAATCCCAGGAGGCACACACACACACACGCACAAATACCCACGTGTATGGACACACGTACACACTGACACAAAAAGAAAACTTTCAGCCATGCGCATCAAAAGCTGGAGCATTGCAAAGTTGGCATTTGGACAATATTTGTGAACAAACTGGCAGATGTCAAAAGGCTTTGACGGCAGGGTTTTAGAGGGAAAAAAAGCACTAATACGGATGTGCTGTAGTTACTGTGTGTGTTTTTGAGTGCTCTGGGCCCTGGGCTGCCAAAAAATATAGTGGCAGGTCTCTATGCTATGAGTGTGAGAAGATATGGAAAGAGTAAAAGCATTTTCCTTAAACACAAAGGTACAAATATAACATCTCTGTAAAATAGGGTATAGCTAAAACATAGTACAAGATAATGGCACTTTTTATGTACTGAATATATATAACAACTCTACTTTTGAGCCATTATTGCTTTGTACAGATCTTAGACTTTCAGGACACTCGAGTTTCATCCCTCTGGCCGACTGAAATCCACCCAAATCCCCATGTCCCTCTCAAATGTCACTATTAAAAATTCTTAATTTATGTCCAGCACCAGTGTGGAGTTGAAAGGGGCTATTTGGAAAAACAGAAAAAACTTGACACGCATATACAGTGCTTTAACCCTGAGGCCTGCAGGGTAATGGTAGGATTAATTACTGTTGAGTTTGACCCAAGGAGAACTAGAGCAGATTATCCCAGATGCTGCAGAGGAAGGCATTAGTGCTGGTCGTCCCTCTATGGCAGCAGAGAGCCACCTCAGCCGTGAGGATGTCACCATGACCTCACTGATCTGGCCCGCTGCACAAAACCACATGGAGGCAGCATACAGGAAACTCACGTGGCAGCAACGGCCATGCACTGCTTACACCGCGGTCCTGCATGCTTCTTTTTTGTCGCCTTCAGATGCCGAGCGGGCGGCTCTTCTTCTCTCAGCAGGCAGGCATCAGAGGAGGAGAATAATGTGTAATTACAATAGACAATCTAAAACAAAGCCCTTCACTTTCAATGAGTTCCTCTTGGAGAAGGGAAGGTTACCTCAAGGGGGAATTCTAATGAAGCAGATGGCTGAGTGCTCACAGGGGCAGACGCAGACTGTCCTCCTTTTTACAGTCTGACAACATTTCCAGCATTCTGAGGAGCTTCACCTGTCTCTTGACCGCTCTTTGTGTGTGCATCTGTGAGTAAGTGTGTGTACGTGTGTGCTTGTGCAAAAGACATTTGCTTATTGACACCTCTCACAAGATGGAGGGGGGAAATAACGAGTAACCTCACAAATTTGTGTTTTTCTGCACCCAGCTGCACACACAGGTAGGCAGAAAAGTTCAATAAAAGTATCGTTAGAATGTCCTTAACAGGTGTTCATATTGCACTGTGCTATGTCTAAGCGATTTTGTGAAGTGCAGTTGAGAGCATGCAGCACGTGAACATACAGAAAAAACACTCCAGGCAGGTACTCCTTAGATTTTATTCTATACCGTTTTATTTCATCCAGTATGTGTGCTTATCAACAATGCAGTTTTTGCCTCACTCCTTTCCCCACCACACAAACTAAGAGCCACAGCTACTGTGTGTGTGGTTGTTGTGTGGGTCAGCGCAATGTCCCGCATGTACACATCCAGTCACACCATACCTGTACAGATCCCTTATTGCTTTTTCCCATAGTTCCCGTGTTAAATGCAGAAAAAATAGATATCCATTAATCAATAGCAAAGCGGTCAAAATACTGTTCTCCCCAAAAGGTCGTGTGTCCTCGTAAGAAGTGTTTAACCAGTCACTGCCTTCGTGAAACAAAAAGGTTGAGCCTTCAGGTAGAAAGTCTTGGTCTGTAGCATCATGTAACGAAAATGTCCCACTCCTGCGCCGCATCAGATAATACAATGCAAATGACATGTTTCCTTGAAAATCATGGACATGTTATGAACTCTGTACATACACACAATATGGTGAACATTGCTTATCATTATCTGTTATGGTGATGATGTCACTTATTAAGAGAGTCTAAAATAAATACAGAAATATAAATAGGTCCTATGGAAATATATAAATCTGTATAAGTAAGTACCTTGTCAACATTATGTTCCCAACATCAGATTAAGTGGAATTATAGTACATACTTCAGCAAATGAAAGACAGCTTCGAGAAGCAGGATTTTTATGTAAACCCTCATCTCTCCAAATGTAGTATGAAATGAACCTTTCTGCCCCCCCACCACCCCCACTAATCCAGTGAAGAGCAGCCCCTCACCTTTGACTTTAACACAGGATTTTCTGATCAGCTGCAACCAGTAGAGAAACACATGAAACCATGTCACCATATTTTCAGACCCCAATCTAAGCATCTAATTTGTATATTTGTTAGTTTACAGAACCAAGTCACATTTTAAATATGAACACGCTGTAAAATAGGAGCAATTGATGACTTTATATTGACAGCTAAAAAGAGATACTCCTGCCAGTTAGCTGTACAGTATCATAACCCTGAAGGATCTTTAGGTGATACAGACTTATTGTGAATTTATATGCTCCCCACCTTTGCATGGTATCCTTAAAGTGGGTCATATCCAGGTTACAGTGCCCAACAGCCCACTTTGTGGTCAAAATAACATTACTGTCATGTTATTCCATCTCACTGGAGCAGCAGCAAAAGAGGTCAGTTGTATTAGACGCTACGATAAACAGAACTTTTCACCACATATAGCAATCTTCATATCATATCCAATCACTCTGAGATACATTGTCATACAGAACACCTCATTCTGGTGCTTGTGTACGAAATAAATTGAGCATTTGTGGAAGGGTAGGAGGAATTTGTGGTCATAAATGAATAACAAGGGCCTCGGAAAAAACACACATGCCTTTTTCTCCCCCGAGAAATTGCAGGTTCGATTCTGCTGCTGCTACATCTAATCCTCAATCACAGCAAATGATTTCATTAGTCTGCATTGCTGATTCACCAACCCATATTCATGGCCGAGTAGGGCAGCACAAAGGGAGAGGGAGACTAAGATTAGGCAGCGAAATTGGAAGTGCACCAACAGCATACAGACAGAAACGACCATAAATTAGAAATGGTACTGAAGTACCATGTGGATCTCCACCAAAGCTCTACAAAACTGCTGGCTGCTTCACAACACATCTAGGGCCAACAGCACGGTTGCAGCCAGGTATGGCCCCAGACCATACAGGTTTCATCCTCAAGACTGTGTAGCAGGGGCGAGAGTAAGTCACACATGTGCAAGTCTCAAGCAAGTCCAAAGTTACTGTGGTTAGAATAAAGCAAGCTGAGTTCTGTCTCTGCTAGAAGTCAAGCTTAGGTTAAGCAAGTCTAGGCATACAAACTCCGGATGATCTCCCCCAGTTTCCATATTAAACAGTAGTTGTGAAATGTTGACTTTTATTTGCAACATTAACGCAAACTGTTGCAGCTGACTTACACCTTAGAAATCTTACTGATAGTTAACATTTGATCAATAACAAACCACCAAAATGAACAACAATGGAGAGAGTGGGATCGTGAGAGTTGCACATGGGAGTGAGGTTCATCGTGGTGACTCAGTACTGTAGGTTACTTCTTCTATAAACAAACAAAACAAACAGTATTACTAAGACCGAATCACAGATATATCTCAACCAAAACCACCAAAACGGTTGTCGCCATACACTCGGATTGGTTCAGTGGAAAAATGGGTTAGCTCACCAACAATCAAAAACATTAACCACTACTACCTTCAGTGCAACATACAGAGTGATACCTCTTTCATAACCACTCCAGCCACCTACTCAGACGACAAAACAAACCAGTAAAAAAAAAAACAATAAATACAATCCATAAACCGTAAACTTGACCTGTTCGATACACTCCAGAACAATAGAGAGTTTCTAATTCAAGTAGTGACCATGATGCATTATAAGCATAAGTTGAAATGGCATATGCACAATGAGTCTTTGCTGTAACAACACTGGTAGCAAAGTGACTGTAACAGAGCGGATGCACAATTCAAATGAACAGCAGAGAAAGGGGTACAATGGCATGTCATGAGAAGAAATGTGATCATTAGGTTACACCTGTAACCAGTCAAGCATGCAGCTATGTTATGCTCTTGTAGTCTAACTGGTTATATGGATGAATGATGGATGAAGTTGGATGTTGTGATGGTCATGTCACTGATTTTTTTGAGCTACAGACCTTGCATAGCCCTGTTTTCTTCTTGCTACCGTCGTTGACAACACAACCCTCAAATCCAAATTCTATTACCTTTGGACTAGTCACCTCCATGATAGCTGCCTCATGTGTTGGCCTCTGCTGGTCTGCTGTGTCCTTGTAGCTTGCCAAGTATGGATGCATGCATGTCAAACACTCAGTCAAGTTTCAGAAATTTCTCTCAATAACTAGAAAAATGTAAGTATTTAATTTTAAAAAAGTCAAGTCCTTTCAAGTCATCTGTCTCAAGCCTAATCACGTAAAAAAATAATGGATATCAAATCAAAGTGAAGTCGAGTCTTTTTATTAAAGTTAGTCAAGGAAGTCTCAAGTCATCAAATTTGTGTCCCCCACCTCTGCTAGGTGGCCCTGACCTAGAGTTAGTTGAAATAGAGCAACCAATTTATATCAATGCAAGATATTCAAATGAAACAATAATACCTTACAGGATCAAAACACAGACATGTCAGGTGCTTTTCCAATATTTCCTCTGAACTAATTTCTAAACAGACTACAGTGGCTTGAAGTGTTTGACACAACGTTGGTACCTGTTGTGAGCCTTCAACTGCCCTCCATTGCTATTTCCTATGTTGCTCTCATACATCTGTTTTCTTACCATGTTGAGATAGGTGACACAGGGAGACATAATGAAAATAGTTCCCAGCATGAGCAAGTGAGTCATAGTTGTTTTTCTTTATTCGCTTCTCTTAAAAGACACAAAGTTTCAAAGCCTCCTTATCTAATTCCCAGCTGATTCCTCTAAAAAAAAAAGTCTTTATACTACATTACGCTACATATAAGGCTGCAGCAAATAGTCTGGGAGGTTGGAAACAGCAAATCCCCTTGAAGAATAAACATGGCTGTCAGGTAAAAATCGTGTTGTGTAAAAAGTCCAATTTCAGTTATTTTTATGTCTGTACTTGGAGTAAAGGATTACATGGTCTTCCGTGAGTTGAGAAACATTATTATGTAACCCCTGTTAATTTCAATGACATAATTTCAAAGCTTCATGGTCATCAATCAAAAACTGCTTCTCATAATTTCTTAAACATTGGCAGTTTTCTTGCATAAAAAGTCCAAGACAGGAGATTTTACAGAGACGTTGGACAAGATGAAACAGGCACGACATCATGCAGACTGCGTCTGCTTTTTAACTGTCAGTGACAGATTCAGCTGATACACTGTGTGCCCACCCAACCCTCCCCTTAACCACTTATCTGTGACGATGGACCAGACTAAGTTCAGGCCAACTAATCAATTTCTGTCCAGCGTCTATCTCCCTGTAAGCTATGACCTGTGTCTCCCTGTCGCACCCTTCTCAGACAGTGTCCATCCCCAGCAATCGACCCTGCCAGGCAGCATGGGAAATGAAGTACACACAACTAAACACTACCTACTAGCTACAGCTACACTCAAAGCTTTCCCACATATACTTATAATCAATAGCACACTGACAAACATCCACTAGTACTCAGGAACAATCTTGAGGAAGGGGGCGACATGCTGCAAGTCCTTGGGAAACAAGTACCCAGTCAGTATGAGTACCCCATTGGGTGCCTGTCTACCTGTCTTCCCTGTGGCTGAATGTCTGACTACATTGTTCCCCCAGTGCATAACTGTTTCCTCACATCTACACCTTTGTCTCGCAGGCTGGCTTCAAACTGTTCTCCAGCTCGCCTTAATAAGGTCATATTGTATGGAAAAAAGGGGACTTTTTCTTGATGTGTGAGGCAAAGCTGCTTTTGCACAGTGCAAGGCTGGCAGGTACAGGAAGACCAAGGTTAAAACACCTACACAATGGGGCGTCCGGTTAGCTCAGTTGGTAGAGCTGGCGTCCCATGTACCAAGGCTAAGACCTTGCTGCAGCGGCCCAGGGTTTGAATCAGACCTGCGGCCCTTTGCTGTGTGTCATCCCCTTTCTCTGTCCCCCTTTCCTGTCTATCTTCAGCTGTCACTATCAATAAAAAAATGCAATAAAAGCCCCCCAAACAAAACACCTACACACTGACCATCAGTATTCCAGAGGTGAAACAATTTACTTTCTGTCACAAAGCTCTGTCCCACCCAGCCCTTTGTCCCTTTGGATGGTGGTCTAAAGGGTCCTGGGCTTCCTACCATGAGGAGCAAGGCCAAAATAAATGTTTAATACTTCAGATAGTTGTTTACTGCAGATGTAGACAAGATGTTCAATGTGACAGAGGCAAACACAACCCTGCTCGAGCCGTTAGTAACGCCTGCTCTGTTTGTGAAGAAGACCATGAAAATGTTGTGTGTATAAGATAAAAGCTATGATCCATTATTGATTTTATCTATATAATCTAATTCAAGAGTGGTTCGGTAATGATATGCCAAATAATTATAGTGTTCTTGCTGTGTTCAAATCTCCTCTCTCGGCCTCATCCAATTCTATGTCAGTTGTTGATATTCTACATAATGACTGCTGGTAACACAGATGATGCCTGGATGTATTGCATTCAGATGTTGGTTTTGCATGTACTTGCAAAACGCAATAACGTCTGTTGGTTGGGTTGCATTGGACTATTAAGGCAATTCTGATTGCTGATATTTGCTGCTATTTTATCAGATTCAACACCATTGTAGAATTGTATTTTTTCTGTACTGGAATAATCATACACAGTGGGGCCTACATTTGGCCAGTTATCCAACAATAAGGAACTTTATCATCAAACAACGCAATGCACCCTAAAGTGTAACACATCATCAACAGTGTTGCTTAAAATACAATACCAGAATAGATATTCCCTTTAGGTTGGTGATGTTGTTATTTAATGATGCCCCAATATTTTATGTGGCTATTGATGGATGTACTGATGTAAAAGGGTAACCATTTCCACAAGTTGCTTGTGATTGAAGGCTGGACGTTTATTTAAAATGGATAAAAAATAATAGCAAATGAATAAAAATGTATATATTATTTTGTCTTCCTATGATTACAGTGTGTGTATTCATGTCTTCAACAAAAATCATACAGCAAATCCCTAATCATAAAAATGGTAAGAATGGCTATATCAACTGCCCTAGCTGATCTGAATGAAATTATAGATTGGCTTACTGCAAATTTAGTCAAGGATATTCTCAACATCATAAAATGTTGTGGATAAAAAAAAAATCATGATTGTTGAATATTTCTTATTTTTTCTTGGAGCAGTCATTGTGTGCTATTGTGGTTGTGTGCATGTCTGTAAATGTGCATTTGTTCAGCTCTGTGTCATGTCGTGTATTGCTATACCTTATTAAAGAGACTTCTGGGAACTGTAATGAGGGGAGAGCATGGTCACTGTGCACCTCTCTGTGTGAGTCCATGATAGCCTGTGAGGGTCAAGGGATTACAGACATGTCTTGTTAAATTAGGCTGCTGTGGCTGAGTGCTGTGACTGAGTTATGGACTCAGCTGTCCGAGTGGAACCCGGGTCTGTCTTGGTGATGAGCTGTGGACAAACATGTAGAAGCATATCACTGCTCGTCTCCTTTGGGAATTTAGTGATACCTTTGCTGTGTCATCAGTTTTCTTGACCACTGTAAGGCTCTCTGACAGTGCCATCAGATTCTGAACGGATACATATATAATTTGATTCTAACAGCAAACAGCAAAATTTGCTTCATGTATGTGTATATAGTGTCTGTTACATGAATTCGGAAATACCTGCAGCATCCTTGAATAATGTGCTGTACATTTTAAAATGTTCAATCTGTCATTGTAAAGTCTTCCCCTTCAACTTCATGTGCCAAAATAAAGCTATTTCTGAGTTGTGGTGCAGCAGTGCAGGCATACTATGGAGAATGTGTAGTAAAAGAGTGGGCTGTTTCAGTCATATATCCAGATGGCCTTACAACAATTTAGTCGGTATTGGTTCTGTGTCTTGCTAAAGGACACTTTGGCAGGAAAAATGGCTGCTGATGAAAACATCTATCAAAGATATTGAACCGATGACCTTTCAAGTTATGGAACAGTCTCTTAACACCCTGGGTGCCCCAGTGCTTTTAGTGCATCTGCCACAGCTACAGTACTTACTTTCAGCAACAACAAATGTACATACATTCAACATTTTCAAACTCAGCACCGGCCTTCAATGAGGAAACATGTCTATGTTGACCGTATAGCAGCTACAGTAGAAGAAGTAATGCACAAATTAAGTGTCATATTTCCATTTCCAGCACTTTTCAGATATTTCAGCTTGTGTACTATATGCACTGTATTTGCTCAATGACTGAAAGTCTAGTTTTGGGGCAATCATATATTTGACTATTTTTTTATTTTCAATGGTCTGAGTGCTACACAATGCAACACACGCAAGCTGTCGTTAATGGAAGTCCTAGTTTTTGTGTGAAAAAGGCAAATCTCTTTTTGATCAGTCCAGGGAAAAGTCTTGCCTTGCATCTGACTGTTTCCACTGAATCATACACTTATTCTCACACATTAACAGTTGCACACAGTCAGGAAGAAAAACCACACATGCTTTCTACATAATAACGGCATGAGCTTGGAAGACAAAGTGAGCTTGTTAGGACATGGTTGAGGACTCTGCAGAAAGCCAGTCACTCACTCACTGCTATGTCTCAATATTGAGATGGAGGGTAGCTCGCTGAACCCCTCTCCCCCTGCTTCAAAAAACAGTATTATTAGGATAAAGTGGTATAAAATATGGATTGACGGGCAAAGAGGAGGTGAATTATTACCCCACAGGAAAAGTCTTTTTGGTTTCCTAAAATCTCTTCTCCATCTCTAATAAGGTTTTGAAAAGTTTATACAGAGGATAAATAAGTACAATCTAACAGATACATTTAAGGATCAACAATATGTGATCCTAAATGGGATGGTACAAGAGTCAGCCTGTTCCAAAGCATGTTGTTTTAGCTAGAAATGTAGATTTTTTTTTTAAACACACAAAAGCCTTTATACATGCAGGTATTAGTGCATAGGTTCCTGCTGAAAAAGAGTATTATTGTCTAGTCCACTGAATTGTCTTCCCAAACATCACCAGATGAATTTGGCATAGTTATAGAAATATCATTTTTCACACCCTCCTAGTCCCTTGATTAACTTATCATTTAAATATATCTCTATCTATATACAGTATGTATGAATAAAAAAACTGGACAAAGCATAAAACAAATACAGAGTATTCTAGAGCTCCGTGTTACCCGGTAAAGTGTCTTTTAAATCACAGTAAATTTAAGATCTTGGTAAAATAAAGTGGAACACAGTGAAGTCTGAAGACAGAAAAAAAGAATGCAACACATGGAGATCGTTTTTGTGTGTTTCAGTTTGGAGGAGCACAGGAGGGTGTGATCAATCCTCACAAATTAGAAGGGAGTTTAGAGCGGACAGTTTGAGGTTCTAGATCTGATGAGTAGGCAGCAGAGCCCCTTCTTAGAGGCAAGGCCGGGGAGGCCCCAGGGGACTGAGTCTGGTGAGGGTGCCCCGGAGACATCTGGATAGGAGGAGTCATGCGCCCTGGCACGGAGCTACAGGGTTTGGGCACAAGAGTAGGTGAGGAAAAGGGTGAAGGATAATATCCAGTTTCCACAGAGGAGCGAGGGGTATGGTGGCCCAAGGCCTGGTCCACCTCCTGGGGCAGAGATGGGGGTGAGCTGGATAAAAGCTTTAGGTCCTCAGAAAAGCGGCCCAGCGGAGAGTCTCTCCCTGTTGGGTGTGGCTGGTTAGGAAGCTGTGAAGGGAGAGAAGATTGAGGCATGAGCAGAGAACTGTGGGATCCTGTGGCATTGGAGGGGTCACTGTAGTGGAAAGTCCTGCCTGCCACTGGGCTTTGAATAGTAGGACTGGGTGCCACTGGGGTAAGGCAGGGGGAGGCATTTGCTGAACCATACTGGGCCAGGGAGGCCAGGGCAGACCTCTCCAGCGACATCTGGTGAGGCAGGAAGCCAGGCTGGAGGCCTGCCAGGCTAAAATGGCTGAGGGAAGATGGGGAGCCCTCAGCAGGCTGCTGGCTGTGCTGTCCTCTACTAGAGGATGGGGAGCCTGGTGGAGGGGAATGGAATAGGTTTAAACCACTGGTAGTCCTGCCTCCCCCAGCAAACTGCTGCAAAGGACCCACTTGGGGAGGCTTGGGAGGTGGCTGGCTATGGAGTAGTTGACCAGGCATAGGGCTGGATGAGCCAGTAGATATAGGACTCTGACAGCGGGAGGAACTAATAAGTCCAGCTGTAATTCCACCAGAAGTCCCTCCTGCAAGACAAGCCGTAGACCCTCCTATATGGCTCCCAAGGGCCCCACCTGCTGCTCTGCCAATATGTCCTCCAATCACTCCTCCCCCTGGCCCACTTGAACCTCCTCCTATATGGCTAGTTGTTGATCCAACAGAAGCCCTTCCCAACGATCCTCCAGGATTCCCTACCATCGAATCAACAGAAACCCCTCCAACTGACCCCCCAGAAGCCCCTCCCGTTAATCCTCTGGAAACCACTCCCATTGATCCACCAGAAGCCCTCCTTAATGATCCTCCAGTGGTTGTGACTACCAGTGATTCTCCAGAAGCCTCTCCCACTGATCCCCCAGAAGCTTTTCCCATTGATCCTCTAGAAGTCCCTCTCAATGATCTCCTGGCTGCATCTCCTATTGGCCCACAGGTAACACCCGCCACTGATACACCTGATGCTCCACATCCTAACTTGCTACAAGCAGCACCCATTGATCCTTCAGATATCCCTGCCATTGATTCCCCTGAGATCTCTCCTACTGATCCACCAGTAGCTCCTCCCAACCTAAAGTGCCCCCCAGGAGTCACTTCTGTTGTTCCAGTTATAAAGTCCTCTCCACCCCAAGTAGTGTCTCCTCCAGTGGCCCCTTCCACAGATCCTCCAACAGCTCCACCTGAAGACCACCCTGTAGCACCACCGCAGGCTCCACCTGCCCCTCCACTTATTCCTGACCCTGTGCTTCCACCTGTAGATCCTTGATGGAAGATGTTTGAAAGAGGTGGGGTGCTGGAACGAAATGGCTGTTGATGCTGTGGTTGTGGGTGAAGCTGGGCCATACTGGATGACGGTGAACCAGAAGAAGAGAATGGTCCAAAAGGGAAGGCAGAGCCGTCTCCTCCACTTGACCCAGATCCAGTCCCACTAGGTCCACGCTTGCCTCCGCTACCTGAGGCCTGTTGGCTAGAGCCAGTTGCCCCTATACCTGACGTCATGTGCTGGGCCCGAAAAGAGGCCAGCAATGGCATGTCCACCCCAGTGCGCACTTTAGAGGGTGTGCTAGAGGGAGAGTCCCCAGCAGAGTCTGATGCTGCAGATGGAGAAACAAATGTGTGGAACTTCTTCAGACGACTGGAAGGATCTTTTAGGGAGCCCAGAATAGAAACCGGAGGCCTGAAGAGAGTTGGTGGAAGGTGGGGATGGTGTGTCAGGGCAATAGCTACTGAGGTGGTGGCGGCTGCCGCCTGGAGAGGGGCCTGGATAAGGGGGGCCCAGATGACAGGGGTCGGCGAGGGAGGTGTCTGGGGTGGGGCGTTCTGCATGAGGTGGGCGCAGTGGGCCATGTCCCTATCATGCTGCACAATCTGCTGGATGATCTCATTCTCCTGGTAGTTGAGTACACCAGAGCTGAGGTCATGCTGTACCTTGTGTTGCAGGATTGAGTTCTTCTTGCCTGTAGAAGCACATGCACACACAAACACATAAATAGACATGTAGAGAGTGACAGGTGAGAGAGGAAAAAGATAAAAGGAGAAGGAGCATAAATCTTGTACAGAGCTAGAATCAGGTTGACATTTGGGTGTACTCGAGTAACCATGCTATTTTCCAACAACATTTTCCAATAGAAAAGCTAGCAAAGGTACAGCTATGATGTCAGCAAATAAAGAAATAAAAGTGTTAAAAAGGAGGAAAAGAGATTTAAGAATGGAGCATAAGGGGAAAGACAAAGCATAAAAGATCACAGAACAAGAGAAACAGCCAACAATATGTGGAAGATAACTACCCAGAGACTGAGACTACTGTGATTCCCAAGGTAACAGGAACAAAACATAAAACAAACATTGTACCACAAGGTGCAACTACAGCCTGGTATAGAGTGTGAGCTGCACTGAGATAATGGGTCAGTGGGCCAACAACTATCTCTGTCATGTTTTCTTTCCTGTTACTGGTTGTTAATATCAAAGGGAAGAGTCTTAAAAATCAGGGATGAAAACTTTGGGATAAGCCATCTCATGACATATAAATAAGTTATAATGTAATTAAGTAATAACTAAACTTTTTCACAATTTTCTTTTCATAAAGTCCCTAGTTGCTGCTTCACTGTCCACCCTAGGAACATGTGTACTGGGAGGTTCTTGTGAGCTGTGCACAAGGTCAAAGAGACAAGCTGGAGTTTCCTTACCAAAACTCCTAGAGAAATGTGTGCAACTTTGACCGCAAAGTCCATTAGTCATTGATGAATAGTCACACTAGCAATGACAGGGTTAATTCACATGAGTGCCAGTTTCAATTTGGTGCTAACAAAAGGCTGTGAAATCCGGAGATATTGCAAATGCAATTAAGCCCAGATCAATCTCTCCATTTTCTGTTATGACTGGTGGCAGATTAGTAGAGGTATTGCAGTGAGGTATTGTATCTACATCCAGTGTGACTCTGGCACCACCTGACCCTTTATTACCTGCACAACTCCAATCAGATTGTGCAAAGTCCATCAAGACAGTAATTCATTTGTGGATCACTGCTGTGTAAGTGACTTTATTAGGGAAGAATGGTGTACATGAGCATCAAGCCCAGGAGAAAGGACATAAACCATCTCATAGAAACATTACTATCAGCCCACCACATCTTTTCAAAGCAGCCATTTTCTACAAAGAGACCCCCTAAAGCAATTTCTCTATCTTCCATTCTAAACATAGCTGAGGATAAAACAGAGCATGCAGCGATGGCTGAGTGATGATACAGGCGTGCCTTTCATTGTGAATTTTTCATCTGCTCAGGCTGAGCCTGGGAAAAGTGATGGATATGGAGAGAATATCAATTGTATGCGTAAGAGAAGTCAAGCAGGGATTTCAAAACCAGAGCTCTATCTGCATGTTTATATGCAGATGACTTTGAAAGTAATTTCAGTCATTGAGGATCAGTGTGAACATTTTTTTTACAGCCCTCATGAGTAAATAAAAGCCAAAAGTAAAACTGAGACAGTGTCGTCTTCTCCTAACCCAGTAATAAAGTAAACTTATTGATGTGCTAGGTAAAACTAGATTAAAAATAAGCTTTATTTGCAAATATTAAAGATGCACAGTAAAGGGTTGCTAAGTTTTAAGCTTTCCATTATAGCTCATTTCTAACACAAACTGAGGCCATCATGTCCTGAAAAATGTTTTCAAAATGGTGGCATCTTGTTTACAGTAATAAAAAATATTCAGGCTTTTTCCCTGAAATTGTTTAAGTTTTATTTTCTTACCAATACGGTCCAGCCTGTCCAGGGCAACAGTCTCAAATGCCCGTCTCATCATTGGATACTCTTCCAGCACCTCATTGAAGTTGTCCACAGACAGTGAGTACAGGCGACAGTACGTGTCCGCTCGGACACTGGCTGTCCTTCTGCCCCGTGTCAGCAAACAAATCTCTGCAACAAAACACAGCAAAAAAAGAGTTATAATATTACCTCAGTCACTGTAAAAAAAATGCTTATAGGTAACATTTCCTAATGAAGTTTAGCTAGAACAGTCCTAGATTTTGTTCATAATCACTACACATTCCTAAAATATAGAAATGTGCCCCTCCACACACAACACTTCAACAGCAATAATGTTTTTATAAATATTTAAATATTAACACATCTTTTTTTAACACTTAATCCAGCCTACACATAACATAAAATATATTATAAAGAGAATATATCTGACTATGGCATAGTGTGTTTTTGTATATTAAACAAAGAAAAATATACCTAATTTCCTGTCAACATATATATGAGCCAAAAGGTAATGTTAGGTAAGATATAAAGATCAACCATTTCTGCACTGATGATAACACCTTTGTTTTTTACCCGTTTCAAAATGACGTAGGGGCTTTTTTAAATTTTCCGCAGCAGATACTGTATGCTAAGTGACAAAGTAAAACACAGCACACTCAAAATGTGAAATGTTTTGTTTCATTTTTTAGCATCACAAACTACAACTTTTCTGTAATCCATCGGTGCAGCACTTAATGCCATTTTCAGAGCTTAGAGACCTGCCAGCCCTCATCTGCCATGACTGCTCAGGAAAATAATGCTCCATTTAAACAGCTGCACTGCTGTAGAGCTCTGGCACAGAGACAGTGTGTGTGGGCGCAAATGTGTCTGTACTGTATGCAGATGTTGCACGTGCCTGCATGCACTATAAAATGTATGTGAATATGCTGTATTTGTGTGTATGAATGCTAGTGCATTATTCATGAGCAAGGCAGTGTAGGAGAGTAAAGTATATGGAAAATACAGGCTATATATTCTGTATATACTTTATAAATAAATAGATATAAATATGTAAATATAGAATATAGAATACATGAATGAACTGTGTAAATCAGGAAATTGCTCTATATTGTATGTAAGTGTGGATTTATATGGACTTTGACATATATATTTGTTAGTGTGCCATGTGTTTCTCCACATTCCCTAATGTCTTTTCTCTTTAGCTTTCATCTCATCTTCTGCCCTCCCTACTGTGTTTGCAATCACACTCCCTCTTTCTCAGAAACCCATTTCCAACTCATCCACAACACACATGCTCTCAATTCTCCCACATAATGCACTTTCTGACTTTCCCCCCTAAGCCTACATCAAATCAAAATTTTAAAGAATCCAACTTATCTCAAGCAATCCCATGCATAGTTTGACTTCACCATAACTGTCTCTCCATTGTCTTTTGCTTCTTTTTTTACCCCTTAAGATATTGCATATCTAGAAAATGTTGGTGTTTTCCATTTGCATTTCCCAAACCTGCAGCCACATCATTGTACTGTATGGGGCAATGTCTGCTGTTTGTTGTGTATGTTTTTGTATGCGGGTATAATGATGATTGTGAGGCAATGTGAAAGAAGATACAACTACAGTTTGATGTCAAAAAGAGCGTAGAAGTTGATGTGATTACAATGCAAGATTTAGCCAAAGTAGCCAACTGCAGTTTGACAATGCCAACCTATCACATTAGGGACTGCAGATGTAAAACTTTCTGTAGAGGATAGACGTATCAGGCAGCTGCATACGGAGTTAATTAACTGAGAGGGAAAGCATTTCATTTCATTTAATTAGCCACAGTATGCTATCTGTTGTCGATGACGGATGCTGTAAGCATCAGATATTTAATCTTCATTCTGCCTTTCCTTAAAGAATCGGAATATTTTCTTTCTGTTCAATTTGATATGTACAGGAAGAAGTTTATATAATGAAGGTGAAGAGGATGAACAGCACATGAATTTAAAGAAGAGTAAACAGGTGATTTTGGAGGGATCTTTAAAGGCAAAAATCTGTCAATGTTGACTCCAAAATTGCTGGTCAACTGACAATGACACTCCCCCACTGCAATTCTCCTCCCACTGGAGTGGTATTAAAATGTATTCCACAGGAAGGAAAAAAAACAAAAAACAGGAAAAGGTCACCTCTACACTCACATTTAAACCACACACTGTCCCAAAAAATTTGGGTTGAGCTAAACTAGAGCTGATTCTGTCTGAAAATGCTTTATTGTTGTGACTTATCTGGCAACTAATAAACAAAACTTGGACCTCAGGTTACAGCTACTGTACATCTTGGTAACAGACATCTTATAATATATTCTCTGTGGACAGAAAATATAAACACCTGCCTATGCATATGCGCTTAAGACTGTAGAGATTGGCATTTTGTGTACCCAATTTATATATATGGAGGGACTGCAAAAACACCACTCAATATGATAAAAGAAAATAAAAAAACAACAATAAACATGGCCTCAAAAAAGGCCATGGATCCCAGTGAATATTATATGTAGCATTCACTACACAGCGGTTGTACTGGATTACATTAGACAGACCAGGACTTTGGACAGGACATTTTCTGGTCACTGAGTGTAAAGTGGTTATGATTGTGTGTGATGGTTTGAAAAATGAGATACAGGAACAGATAAAAGGAGAATGAGGCATATGTACTCTATATGACGCATGACAACAACCTCATGTAGTGTGCTACTGTTTGTGTGTGCATGCATGTGAGAGAGAACACGGGTGAATGGACATTGGCCAAGTTAGCTGTTTGAATGTGAAAGACACCATGCTCTTCTGTCTGTGTGCATGGGTGTGTTTGCACATGTGTTTGTGTGTGTGCACTTTAAGTGTGCATTAGCAGGTCAGCCCTGGCTGTAGCTGTGCTGGGGGTCTGTTTCCCGCAGCACTGCTCCAGTAATCCCCTCTGGAGAGGAGCATCGTGGCTCTCTATTAAATCCTCTTGTCCCGTGGCTTTCAGGATGAAGCCAATACTGCCAAGATGAGACGGTGAGCTGCAGTGAGCCCTCGGCCTCATCTAACTGTCTTTGCAGAAAGCAAGTGAAGCCCAGACACTTAGCGGTGCCATCTGAATTACAAGTGCGGGGAAAAAAATCCATGGCAGGGTTTGGGTCTGGTGCAACCTGCTCTGAGCAAAACCGTAAGAGATTAGCGGACAACTCTGAGTGCTGAGCAGATAAATGCAGGTGGCTGTCCTGAATATGACCAATTGTACAATTAGGAGCTGAATTAAACAGCAGAAAAAACTCAGGGATGAAAACGAAATGGTGGTTTTCTTTCCAAAAGTGGATTAACTGTAAGTAGAAAAAATATATATAATGGGTTTTGCACAAAATAGTAAATGTATTTTTAACATAAAAGCAAAAAATCTACTATTTATCTACCAATGAACAGTTCATTTCAGTCAGTTTTTCTATTTCTCTCCAAACACACATTTACCATTTTTCTATGAAACCCTATATATTTATTATCTATTCAGCTGACAGTGCTGGGCAGCTGAGAAATGTGATTGGCTGAAAGGTGAGGAGGCGTAAACTGGTGACAACTAAAAGTGATAAATGTGACATAAAATAAAATTTAAAAAAATCATTGTGAAGATTGTATTTTCAAATAGACATTTCTATAATTAAATAACAATTAAACTCCAACTTGAAAATTAATTCATTGATTTTCCTTTGTTTATTCATATTATTATATTTATATCTATTTATTTATTCATATTTATTTATTAAACACTTTTGGGCAGCCTAGTCTACAATGTAAAACATAAAATAAATTATACTGCTGAGTGCTACGTGATCATCTGCACTGCACTGTCCAACTCTATATAGCTTTTGAGTTTGATTACATTTTTTTATGAATGCTTTACTTCCACTGCTTACTCATATCTCCTGTGACTCATCACAATGCTCCCCCAAATCCTGCATGAAATCATAGAACAGGCTTAGCTGGTGTAGCCTGTATTTTTTAAGGGGCATGTGTTTGTGTGTGGTCTGCACTCACAATGAGATGATTCATAATCAGCCCCAAATGGTGGGCTGTGTTAGCTTAAATCAGCAAAGCTATAATATCATCATGACACAAGATATCTGATTGGCTGGGAAATAAACATTCATTTCATGAAGTCATTGTACTCAAAAGTCCTGATTCTAAAAACAGCATTTAAGAAAAACACTGAGTAAAAAAGTAAAAACAAAGCTCAAGAATAAACTCCAAAGCACTACTTGATCAATCTTTCTGTCCTCCCCCCCCCCCCTGCTGTCCTGTTCATCAGTCCCAGCAGTGATTGCTCCCAAGGCTAGTTAGTCCTATAGATGCCTCAGTTTTCACACGATGATGTCACTTTGCCATTGCCATGATGTGTTTCATTTTCGCACTTAAGTGACAAAGCATTCATCAAAATTGAATGACACCAATTAAAATTGAATGTTGCTCAGGGAAAGGAGGACGTCATGTGCTGTGACCTTGGTGAGAACACACATGACTTATCTTTTGTTAGATGGTACAGACCACGTATCCTGGGCTCTTACTGGAAAAATGCTTCCCCAGAGTCTCTGCACGAGCTCTCAAAGTGGAGAGCAGACTGCATGCCATGGAAGATGTCAGTGTGGTGTGAGTGTGTGGGAGAGAAAGCAAGATACGGAGGAAAACTGAATGAGGCATCCTGTGTGCATGACTGTTTTTTTTTTTTTTGAATACCTTATGCTCACAGTGTAATGTACAGACCTCCTAAAGAGACATGGGGGAGAGATAAACAGATGTGTTAAAAAAAAAATATATACTTTTGCATGCTCCTGAGAAACCATGGCATTCTCTAGGAAAACCTTTCAAGAATTAGCAGGGTTGGAAAAAGTATTGACATGTAATGTCAGTACTTGTGTTTTTCTGGGGGCTGGGCTTCGCTGATTACTGTACAAAAACATCCAACTTTTATAACTTTATTTACATATTAAAGGTATTATTATTATTATTATTATTATTATTTTTTTTTTTTTGGCCTTTATGCCTTTATTTGACAGAGACAGACAGGAAAGGTGGGTAGAGAGTGAGGGGATGACACGCAGCAAAGGTCTGCAGGTTGGATTCGAACCCAGGCCGCTGCAG